AAACTTTTTATTCTTAGGCTCCTGGCGTTACGTAAACGCCTGAGCACTTCCGAGATATGTTTGTAAATGATTTTCGAACGTATGCGCTATATATCATATGTGTCCAGGATTAAGCATTGCCACTCGTGTGCTGTAGGACCGTCTATAACTTATGTGCTAAATCCTGGAGAATTTACTACCCTGCCCCCTTGCAACCCGAACGGCATTCTATTAAATTACATACTGAGCTCTGTATGGTACAGAAACGCTGTTGATGTTTCGTCCTCCTCCGCCATCCTCTATCTTGCCAATATGCGGGAGCAAAGATCTACGGCTACTTCTAAATTTGGCCCCTCTACTTTGCTAGCACGTCTTCGATAATTTGGACGAATACTAGCTTCCTTGCTGACAATCTTATTTCAGTCCGCCTATAGTCCTACGCAAAATTCGTCATGGAGCCATCTTTCTTTTCTACCAGAGAACGACCCCCCCTGCTATACGGACTTTGACTGAGGTCTGATAATCCCGTAGTGCTAACCTTTTCGTCCACTGTGCGCGTCGATATTTTTTGCGGCGTTTAAACGGCACTCTACGATGCGTTTTTACCGGTGGCGCATCCTTTGCTGTCGATAACATTTTAACCAGGTCCGTTTTACCCACAGTCCTTCATTGTTAAGTACATAACAGTCCCTGTTAGCCTTCTAGTAATTCTTCAACCGCTCTCTCCTCTCTCCCTCGTTAAACCCCTGTAGGTTTATTCGGTAAGTGGGTCTCACTAGTGGCCCCTCCTTACGCTCCTTTCCGTGCTACTTACACTTACACGCGTCCTTACTTCCTCGGGTCGACGACCTCAGCGTATAGCTATGTATCACTAATTCTTCCTAACCAAAAATCCTTCGCTCTGTGTCGTTGCTTAATCCATCACAATGCTACCCCCTTTGTATTCACCATGTCTACCGGTAGTCACCACGTGTACCCCGGGCTTCTTGAAACGTCCGTGAGATTATCTGCCCCTTCTACTACCACTGTCTCCCCCTCTCTAGCTCCTTGTTTTAACCCTGTCACGACCTCTACCTGGGTATGCGGGTTAACATATAGTTTTCTTTACCCTGAGAGTTATCTATCCGTCACACTTCCCCTCACGTTTTTGTAATAGGCGGTTACTATCGATCTCCCTAGCGTTAATACCTTTTGATCGGAAATCTATGTCTCGCTCTTGCTTTCTCCAAAAATCGGCCTCTAGCAACAATCTTGCTGTAACCCTTCGGTGATAAACGCATTCTACTCGCCTAGACACTTTTTCCTATCAGTTAGCAAATTAGTCTTGTTAACCCCGTTATGCCTTAAATGTCGGCCTCGGCTGTTTCAGTACATAAGTTCTCTTATCTCACCTTTCTAATCCTTCGTCTTCTGCCTCAGCGCTATCTGCTCCAGACGTTCGCTGAAACTAGAGCAAACATCTTGCACCAGATGTACTAAAAGAGCATTATCGCTTATTACTCCCGTGTACTGCTGCTGATCACCGTCGCGAGCATAACGCAAAGCGGATGCTCTGAGATATACTTGTTTACGATTTTCTTCATGAGAAGGAAAAAAACCTTTGCTCGGGCTGCCCTGGTCTGACCTTCCTTCTGCATTCCAGTACAGGGTCTGGGTTTAAATGCCTTGGCACTGTCTCCACATATGCTCTGGCTGGTTACACCTAGCGCATAACGGCTTGCCCTGGGTGTGCCATCTAATATTCGAGTTAACCCGCATCGGCTGCCCTCGCCTCCTGGCTGGCCGCCCACCCTGTAGATTGCCCAGGCTCGGACGCGTTTCTCCCTCCATTCCCCTCGCTGCCTAATTCCTCTGTGCTTGGCAGGTCTCGGTAGCGGAATGCGCCCTGAGCGAGCTGCGTCTCATGATTATCTCAGGCTATTATCTACGCTCCTTACCATTCCCCTACCTCGTTTACATCGCCTCAATTACCTTCCCCTTCCTTGCCGTGACGACTATACTACTTCCATTGGACTTTCTCCTTTCCCTCAATGCCTAACCTCTCTGTCTAATCTGTACTCTTCATCTTCGCTAATTTTGCGCCGCTTGTAGGTACCAGGGTTCTGTGCGATTGTTTTCTTTCTAAATCGCCTCTATAGCCAATCCATCTATAAATGATTCTACTAAAGTCCCCGGCCATCCGGTGCGTGTCCTATCTGTCCCGGTAAGCACGTACTACTATTACCCTGGCGATGCCGCTCCTCGAACTCGGATCGTCTCGTTCCCGCCTCTGCGTGAATCCTTTTCAAATTCCTGTCTCGTCAGCTAGCCGTTCAACTGATCCCGAAATCTCTCCCCTCATCAGCGTCTATTAGCTGCCCTCGCCCCATATCGTCTCATGTCTCCCTTGTTTTGTCGATGCCAACTCGTATCGCCCGCCCCCGCCATCGCCCCGTCGTCATCGCACCTCTTTTAAATCTCGACCATTTGCCCCAGCGGAGGCCTATTCCCTCTAAACTGCCTCTCAATTCCGTAAATTTATTGCTCTACCTTCACATCCACCCGCGTAAATTTCCTATGTTCTCGTCGTATCCCCTGTCAGTTTCATCTCATCTCTTATCTCCCTTACCAGCGGACTAAGCCTTTGTCCCAAATGCTGAACAATATCCCCATATTTAATCCCTTGCGCCATCGTACGCCCAGAGCCCTCTAAAACAGTTTCCTCCAAACAGCGCCTTACCATCAAATCCATTACATCCCGTTACCTCGGCCCTGCGATATTCTGAACGAATTGTGCATTAACTGTGGGAAAACAATCAGATTAGTGTCACTCATGCTTTTAGCGCTACGTATTCACGTGACCTGAAATTTTATATCCTGGTCACGCACCATTTTATGTCACCATGTGCTTCTTTAATTTAAGCCCACGTCGTGACCGGCGATTGTATCTCTGTTTAGTACCCGTAAAGAATAACCACGGCTCGAGGATATAAAAACCAGTCCGTGATATACAACGCAATCACGAGTTAATTTATATCTACTACACACGCATTATTATTTATTACATATATAATAATCCCCATCACCGTACACTTTCAATCCAACACCCACTTGTTGTCGAACCTTCAGTCCCATAGTATTCTAATGACTACCCAGCGCCTTGCCTTACAACTCCGCGTTACTACCGTCGTTGACCCGCCGCTACCGATCCTCCCGCTCCTAAATCATCTCCCGGACACCATCTACTGCCCCATAACGCCTAAACCTACTCATTCATATAACCATCAATCACGGGTCCGTCCCATCTATCACCATGTACTCTAACAACAATCTTAAACGTTCTATTACAATCAACTTAACATACAAAGAAAACAACCATAGTATACGTATTGCCTCATGTCGTCCGGAGGAGTCTTGTTTAGCGTGCGGCTACGGCTGGTCCCAGCACACTTCTATCCTCTTACTCTCTTAAATTCGGGCTTATTTATCGCTGCCCAACGTCCGCGTGTCGCCTCGGTCCTTAGGCCGAATGCGGCGACTCCCGCCAACGTTCTTTGTTTCTTGTTTCTGGCTGCTTTGTTCTCCCCCGAACTGCGGTTAGTGATGTCATGTTGTACCTCCCTCGGCCGGCTGCACTGCCCTGGTGTCGTCTGTTATGTTAACGTCCCCCTCCGGGCCCCGTCTGCCGATGTTTCTGCCCGTACCGTCCTGGGTTACAGTAGCATTAGGTGGTACCAGCTCCTTCTAACTGTGTGACTAACATCGTGCCACCCACCTTCTTCTCTCTTCTCTCTCTCTCTCTCTCTCTCTCTCTCCTCTCTTTTCTCTCTTTCTCTCTTTCTCTCTCTCCATGTCTCTATCTCTCTCCTCTCTCTCTCTCCTTTTCTCTCTCTCCTCTCTCTCTCTCTCTCCTCCCCTCCCCTCTCTCCTCTCTCTCTCTCTCTCTCTCTCTTTACGCTCTCTCTCGTCTCCTCTCTTCTC